TATATATATGTATATATGAAAAATATATAAAAAATTGATGTGGGTATTTAAATGAAAGCTCTTAATGAGTGTAACATCAGGATGAGCTTATATCTTTAAAAATGTCAGTAGTTAAAAAAGTACAGTGCAATTTAACAAAAGTCATTATTTAATAAAGCAAAATTTTAATTTCTTTTTGGTTCACAAGTCCCGGCAGTCACATAGTGCTAGTTAATATTATTTTATTAGTATTGATTTATGTTATTTTCTGTGGAGAAAAAATTTATTTTATTAATAAAATTGAGGTATTAAAAATGAATATTTAATATATACAAATAGTATTAATAAAAATTTATATTTATCAGTAAATCTTAAGCCGATTTTCGTTTCTATGTTTAATTAATAATTGAAAAACATTAAAAATTCATTTTAGAATGTTTGAAAAAAAAATTAATTTTTTAACTTGTATTTTCTGAAACATATTTTTAAATTATTTAGTTTTTATTCATAACACTAAAGTAATTTATTCTCTTGAAATCAATAAATTGATATAACAAGTATAGAAATCATTATCGAATCTCGGAAATACTTTTCCAGAAATAAATAAATATATAAATATCCCATTGTGAGACTTGGGTCATCCAAAAGCAATTACTTTCATAAGTTACAAGAAATACAAAATCAATAGTATTTATTCTTCCATTTAAACTGAATAAAAAAAATCAATCAATTCTGAATTGCAAAATTTAAAATTTCAAAATTTTTTACAACCATAAAAAAAAAATTACTAAAAAATATTTAATAAAAATAAAACTGTTAAATTAATGACAAATAAAAATTTTTGATTTTTTTTTTTTAATTATATTATAACTAAAAAGATATTTTTAAAAAATTGCATTTATAGTTTTTAAAGTTTTTAACATGTGATATTTTTTTTTTAATTGTTTAATTGAAATTTTTTGGATAAAAAAATTTCTAAAAATTTTGAAATGTCAGCTAATTTCATTTTCATTTAAATTAATAAATTTTTTATTTTATAGGACACCAGTCCGAAGACGACGGTTATATGAGTATGAATGGACGTAAAGCGAAAATGGCATTAGTCGCATTGCGTCCGGTACCGGATTGTCCGGAGCCACAAGAGTCGTCAGCTAATAATGCACCGTCATCCCTTGAATTTCCACCCCCGCCAGAAGAAGCTGAGCGTATTATCTCGACGCTGTTACCCATGTAAGTATAACAATGTCTTCCGGTACAGTACCATACAATAGTAAGTAAATAGTAAATAGTAGATGGATAGATAGATATTATACATATATATGTATATATATATATATATATATATATATGTGTGTGTATTCAGATCTCAACTCTTACTCTATCCTCCCCCTAGTTACATAACTAGAGCAAACACGCGTCACATAATCTCTGGGGTTAGAGGGCTAAAGCCCATCTAGCAAAACGTCTCAGTTTCTGTTGTTCTTTCACGCTCTCGTTGTGTAACTTGTAGATGTGATAAAGAAATGGGATGGTACTGTAAAAATAAAATGTCTGACTACGCACATATATGTATGAGTATGTTATTAATGATGTAGTATTGTAATAGTTATAGTTTTAGTTGTAGAGTATAATAATAAAGATAAAGATAAAAGAAGAAAAGAAGAATAAAGTATCGATTTTGTTGATGGCTGTTTCTTGTTTCAGAGTCTCGCCGAGCGACTCGTCTAAGAGAAGAAGCACAGGCGGCAAGTCTGGGAGACGTGGCGACAAACAGACGGAAGAGATGACGAGATCGCGTCATCGGGGACACACTGTCACAAGTCAGACTACTCTGGTAATACTAATAATAAGTGATTTAAGTTTATGGCCACGATTAATCAACGGTAAACTTCCTCGCGTTTAGTTAAAGTTATTTTACGTCGAGATACTAGAGTTGGAATGAGTGTTTTATAGGATTATAGGTCACTTTTTGTTCATTCACTTTTCAAACCCATTATTTAGTCTTATATTAGCAAGTTTTTTTTTATTTATCCAACTGATATTTCTTCTTTTTATAAACGATACTTTGATTTTATTGGTTACTTTGATTGATTGGTTTGGAAAAATTCTGAAGAATAAAATGAGTTTTATAGGATAAGAAGAAATTGCAATTTATAAAAATAAAAAGAAGAATATTATTTTGAATTATTTTTTTTTTTTTTTTTTTTTTAAAATTAAAAGATTAACAAAATAATTTTTATTATAGGGTAAAAGACCCCATTAGTGGCGAGGACCCCATTACTGACACTTTCTTTGATTTTGGTACTTATTCAATTAATGAAATCATTAATTTCGATAATGAATATATTATTTCTAATCTTTAAGACTTTTAGATCAAAAAAATTTTTCATTTTTATTCCAAGTAGAACATGATTTCATTGAAAGAAAAAGTGCCACTAATAGGGGTTAAAGGTACCACTAATGGGGTCTTTTACCTTAGTAAAAAATTTTTGGTAAATATTTTTAAAAGTAGAATTTTTAAAAAATTATTTTCTAGTTTTTAAAGTTTTTAAGCTATATTTTATTTTATGGTTGATTTTTAATGTTCGCAAATTTTAAAATTATTCTTACTAAAATTGAAAGAATTAAAAAAAACTAGATATATGTCAAATTAATAACTAAAAAAAAAAATACTATAAAATAACTAGTTTAAAAAAAAAAAAAAACGTTAAAATTCTTGATAGTTAATCAAACTTTGAGATTTTTTTCCGTAATAACAATACAAAATAAAAAAAAACAATGTAAACTTTTTTAATTATATTTAAGTAACTGATTATTTTCATTACCTGTAAGCGCTTAAGGCATGAATAAGGATTAACTTTATCAAACTTTTTAGCTTTTTACTCTCCCTCTTTCTTTTTAATTTCTTCTCGGAGATTATCCTATCTCATGCATCCGTTTGTAAATTTCCAGCCGAAAACCCGACGCAGAAAGCTGTACGGTCTGTGGGACAGGACGACGAATGCCTCTCTGGAGACGCGTCGGAACTCGACATCGGGGAAATTTGCCAGCCTGCCGTACGACGTTCAGGTGTCCTGCGACTGGATCCTGGAGTCGAAAACTCAGAGTAAAAATTCGCAAGAAAAACACCGGGAGAGCGCGAACAGACGGAGACGAGTGCGATCGACAAATGTGGAAGCGGACAAGGACAATCAGAATGTTCAGCAAATATCCTGCAATAATGATCATACCCAGGGTAAATTAGCGGAGGCTATGGTGGATTCTAGTCGAGATGAACCAGATAACAATGTTAGCCGTAAAGAGGCGGAAGCCTTGAAGGATGATGATGAAGAGGAGGAAGACGTCGAGGAAGTTGAGGAAGACGAGATTGATGAGGATGAACTTGAGGATGAGGACGAGGAGGAGCCACCGAGAGCCGGGGATGACAGAGACGAGGAACTGAGGGGTGAGAGGAATCACTCGGATTCGAGCTGTGATGGACGGTTCTCACGTCGCAGGAGAAGAAAAAGAAAAGTCGGCATGGATCGAGGTGTCTCCGAGTCGGAATCCGAGAGATTTTCAATGCCACGATCCAGTTCCGTCAGCGTTGAGCGTTTTTCAATGCGCGCAAATTGTGATTCCTCGGATTTTTCACGAGCCAACTCGACGTCGAACGAACGGTTCCATTCAGACTTTTCGCTGGCTGTCGCTAGCGCCAGCTCTAACGACCGCATGTCCATACCGACATCCGACCCTTTTTCTGTTCGCAATCTTGACTTCGCTGTGTCAGCGTTTTCTTTGGGTCGAGCAGACTCTTGCGACGAAAGATTTTCGGATGTTTACTCGACGAGAAACTCGGATTTTTCGACGAGAAACTCGACAGACTTCAGAACCCAGTCCGAGGAGGAGGAGAGATTCTCTGATGATTCACTCGAGGAGATGTTGAGATCAGCTGTGCCTCAGCCACCGCCGATGCCTCCGTCGCCTGAAAGCCAGCCGGTTGTATCCAAGAGGCACTCCATCGCTTGGGAAGTGTCTCTTGAGGAAGATCCGCTGTATGCTCCTGGCAGCACTAAAGTTGTCGGAAGGAGACGACGACGTAGCAGCGATGTATCTAGTACGTTTTATTTTATATTATCTGTTGTAAACTGTATTAAATGCTTTCGTTAGTGCTGGTACCTATTGCATGTCAAGTTAAAGACCCTGCACTTGATCACTGTCGAGGAGGAATTTTTTTATTAAAAAATTTTTCTCGTTATTTTTTTATACGCACTTAGAATTTTTTAAATTCATTTTTTTTCTTTATTTTTGTAATTTAAGTGTATTTAATTATTTACGCAAAAAATTTAATTTCAATTAGACAATTATTTTAAAAGTTATAAATATATTTGTAAAGACGTCTCAGACTCAGGCTTTTTTTTTAATTGATGAGAAGATTTATTTGAAAAAGCTGATTTTAATTTAAAAAAAAAATTTCTTGATAATTTTTTTTTTTTTGTTAAAATTCAAAGTTACTGCTATATATATTTTTATTTTAAATTTCATTAAAAAGCCTCTTAAGAAAAAAATAATTTTTTCAATTTTCTAAGTGCGTAAAACTCCTTAAAATTTTATTGTTAAGGGCACAACCAGTGTGACAGCCTAAAAAAAGGCGATTTTTGGGAATTAAAATATAAAAAACTCCTGTATGAATTGTTTTTAAATTTTAAGGGTATATTAATATATATTTTAAGAATATACAGTAAAATTTTTGAAGAAAAAAATTTAATATTTTTCGAGTTACACGCGATCTCCGACGGCGCTAAAAAAAGGTCCTCCACCGCTGGAGTGATTCTGCCCTTTTCCGTGGATAAAACCAAAAAAAAAAAATTCTCGTTAAACTAGAAGATATTATCCGTATAATGACCCACGGTTGAAAAAAAATATCAAAAATTGACAAAATGGCGGCGTTTTTAAAAAAAAAAAAGTTGAATTTTACCCAAAATTTTGGTCATTTTTGGCCTGCCAAAATTCGATTTTTGATCAGATCAAAAAACTAGAGGGCCTTCGTATGGAGAACTATATACAGAATATGCAGAAAAAAAATTCATAGTAATCGGATCATTTGTCTTCAAGTAATCACTCTTGCAAATTCGAAAAATGCTGTTTCGAGAAAAACGCGTTTTTCTGTAGCTAATACAACGATCTAACTGCCGAGCGGCTACTCTTTAAATGGCTGTAACTCAAAAACTATTTGAGATATCGATTTAAAATTTGAGTATGTTATTTTTAAAGGTACACTGAGAAAAAAAAAATACTTTTATTAAGAAAATTTTCTTGATAGAAGAATTTATGTTCTTGAAAATTTTCAAGAATATATATTCTTAGCTCAATAAATTGTTAAATTGATTGAAATAATTTTTACTTAATTTAAATAAAGCTGTTCTGCTCTTCAGAAACTAACAATTAATAATAATAGAATATTTGATCGTCAGTGAGTGTCTTGAGCCAAGAAATTGTTAATTGAGCAAAAGTACTTTTTTTTCTCAGTGTATAATTTATCGAAATATGAAAAAAAAATCGATTTTTTGAAAATTTCACACTGGTTGTGCTCCTAAAAATAAAAAAAAATAAAATAATTCCCGATAATTAATCAAGTCCGGATCTCTTTTCTGCTTACTGCTATAATTCTACTTCAATATATATATATATATATATATTAACCATCAATAACTTTTTTCAGGCGTCGGCTCAGCGTCGAAGCTCCGGGATCTAGATTACGACTGGCAAGAACCTCATCGACGCTCGACAACAGACGATGATCTGATCTCGCCGTATTCACCAGACTCATCGACCAACGAGCTGGATCACCCGGTGTCTGGGAAGCGAGATCGCGATTATCCAACGAAAAACGGGACGTATGTAATACGCGGCCGGACGCGAAAAAGAGAACGCAAGCCTTTGATCACGTCTAGTGTATCGCCGACGAGAAATACTAAAGCGGATTCAACAGAAACCACAAACGTTACAAAACGCTACTCGAATACTTTCGACGATATAAAGAGTCTGCTGCGCGAAGGGAGATTGGAGGGCCTGAATGAGCCGCCCCCAGACTTTGTACCCCCAGTACCGCCAGACCTCGTCCGAGTGCTCTCTCTTCCAGCTTTTGACGAGGTTGATGCTGTTGAAAAAACATCTGTATCCAAGTCTGCAAATACTAAAACAGTACCAACAAAGACAAAGCCAACAAGTGAGCTCCCGAACGCGCTTCCGAGGCACCGGAACAACGACTACCTCTCCTCGACTTCTTCCTCGCCTTCACCACCGCCTCCAGCACCATCTCCACGCGGTGACAAGAATGCTAAAAATTCAAACTACAATTCCAATCACCAAGAAGCCAATGCTGATCATCATCTTCTTCCTAAATCCAAGTGCAATGGTGTTAGTGCGCGAGGATTGCTTCCTACCTCCAAAAGCTTGGACATCCACGCTACCAGTCGCTCCACCAGCCACGACAACGACAATAAATTAAAGTCCACTGGTAAAAAGTCCTCCACCAGCAGAAAGTCCGACCAGTCGAAAATTCCGGTCAATGTACTGATTGAAGATCAAATTGTCAAGAAGGCTCTCAACGAGAATCGCAGACAATTGGAGAAAGTTAGCGACGCTATTAAAGAACTGGAGAGCGTCAGGAATAGCGAGTCATTTGTCGAGGGCAAGATTTCTAAAAAGGTTAAGGAGAATTCTAAGAAATCCAGGGCCAGCAGAAACGAGGTCGAGTCCGACTCTGAAAATGTCAATGAGACTTCTAGAGAAGACGAGGACTGTGATCTCGGATGCAGCACTGAGTATGATCACAGGAGGAAACCTAATGACGCGATCAACGAACTCGTGTATTCTTCCGGTCGGCGAATCGGGCAAAACGATATCGACAGTCTGGCTAAAAATGATCAAAGGCAAATTGAAAATGTGATTGATGCTATTCTTGAGGACTCGAAAAATCCAGACTTTCAGGTATGCTTCTTTATTTATGGATTTTAGTTTATGGGGCATTCTATGCGAAAAGGGAAAATTAGATTATTTATTTGTTTATGCCAAAGCCTGATGGCCAAATGACAAGCAAAAATAAAAATACATTTAATTACAAAATTCAAATATATTGATAAAAATAATTTTACAGTTATTAAAGCACTCTGATTGCAATTATATAAAATAATTATGATTATGATTTCTCTTACAATTTCAAAGACATTTATAAAACTCTACTTATACATCTAGATTGAACAAATAGTCAAAAATTTTATTCTTGAAAATGACTAAAATTTTTAAATTTCTCTAATTCATTCTAATTTATTATTAAAAGTTCATATTTTAAAAAATTTTTTTTAATCAATAAGAAAATCAATTTTTCTCTCCTAGTAACTTTTCAGCCGTACTAATTTGTATCCGGGTCAAATGTTGTTTTAATAGTTTTAAAAACAAATTCATTTTATGTTTGTTATTAACTAACATATTTATTATTATAGTTTTAAGAACAAATTTTTTTATGTTCGTTATTAATTAACACCTAAGTTTATCAAGATCGTGTTGTCAGCATGCTAAATCCTTTATTTGTGTTTTTTAATTAGTTTTTTTTTAATTATCCTAAATAATTTATAGTTAAATTTATAAACAATAATGTTTCTAAGGTTGAAATAATATAAAAGTCTTTTTAATAAACAACTTCATGTACACATTTTGTACTTGTCCCACCAGTTACAAATGCCCGTCTCACCAGTCACAATAAAAAAAATTTTTTTAATTGTTTTTACGTAGATAATCTAAATCAGTCTAATTCTTCATAATATTGAATGTTTGTAGGATTAATTTAGTATTGAGAGGGAAGTATTTTTTAAAAGTTTAATGGTCGAACTGAAATTGGACTTTAAGTATACCTTTGGTAAGAGAGAAGGATTTTTCGTTGTCCCACTAGTCACACTCAGTCAAATGATAATTACGAGAAACTTAAAAAGTAATCGAGGTTTTTGACAAAGGGATGTTGTTAATTAGTTATTCTTCTGTATTATAAGACAAATTTTACTATAGTATAAGTTTTAGTCACATAATTATAGCTTAGAATTGATGGAATTCCAGTCAAATGTCCCACCAGTCACTATGGAATGCCCCTTATACCTTTCGAAGCTTTTAGTTATTTATTTTTATTTTTAAATTCTGTCGGGTATTGAATATTGACTATTGTATTTTATTTTATTATATAACTAAACATATTGACTGTTATAGGTCAGTGTCGAAGTGCTGGAATTCCCGCCGCTTCCACCATCACCAGTAGAAGAGGCTGATGAAGAGAGCTTGGATGTAAATGTTGCTCCTGTCAGTGTATCAACCCACTACGGATCACACCGCGCAATGAGTCGTCAGCCAACACGGACGATAGAGTACAGACCACGAGTGCCGCCTCATAGAGTACCTACTATTGACATGAAGGATCATCGATCCTCATTGGACACTACTAGGTCAATGGATGCTGGATACTCTCGCAGCAGAAGAACTCCAAATGCTCCATCCAACTCAAGACGTGACGTGAGTGCTCTTGATCTTTTTTTTTTCACCGATAAATCCGTCCTAAATTTTAGTTTAATCAGCCTTTTTTTTTTACAGGTGGTAAATATTATACGTCTGGATACTTGTGTGACGTTTTTTTAATTATCAAGGAATGAAAGTTTTAGATAATTAAGTTAAATTGCAAGGAAAATTTTTTATTAACTTACTTTTGATAGTTTTAAAGTTATAATAGAGATCATAATTTACAAGTTCATTCATTTGGATTTTTTAATTTAAATTCTTTTGGTGTTTTAATTATTGGACTTATTTTTATGTCTATTTAAGTTAGTTTTAATTTTATGAAAAAAAAAATGTATTTCTTCTTTTATTAATATTTTTATGTTTAATAATATAAAAATTTGTGATTAATTGAAATGATTTCCATGAAATTTAATAATTAATCGCACATTTTTTTAGATAAAAAAGAATTTAATAATAAAAAAAAATCCCTCAGAATGGATGAGTAAGAATTAGTGAATTGAAAAGAGAAAAATCAAATTAATTGAATTATTAATTTAAAACTTAATAATTACTTGCATAATTTAAGAGGGATATCCACTGTGAAATTTCAAAAAAAAAAAAATTTTTTTTTTTCATTAAATCAAAGTTTATACATTGATAAATATGTATCTAGAGTTTTATATGAAAATTTCGAATATTTTTCGAGTTATAGTCATTTTTGTGACAGCGTGTCAAATGACCATTGCACGCGCGGTGCTCCGATGGGATCTGTAATTTGCATAAATATGAACCGATTTGTAACTTTTTTCCGTATTCGTCTATTCAGTAGCTATAGTTGCACGTAGGGCATTTTGAAAATTTTGATTTTTAAGATTTTTTATGGCTGTTTGAATCCAAAAAAACGAGAAAAAAAAACAAAAAAATTTTTAATACATCGCCGTTTTTTTTAAATCCAAATTTTCAAAATCCCCTACGTCCCAAGCGGCACAAAAATTTTTTTGGTAATATTTTGTTGAATTTAAGTTGGCAATTATTATTTTTTGACTTCTTGTTAAATAAAATTTACCAAAAAGTCAACAGTTTTTTATGTGACGCTTGGGGTGCAACGATAACCACATGCATGCAGATTACAACGCAGTTTGATTTTTTTTGTTTTAAATAATCCGTTTTTGAGTTAGAGATCCCACCGGTTGGGAAATTTTTTTGGTGCTCCACAAAAATGCTTATAACTTTGTAACAACATGATATTTTTTAATCAAAATTTAGAAGAATGATCTTCAATGCATACTTAATAAAACAAAAAAAAACCTGATCCCCAAATTCCTTTATTATCCCAGCCAAAAAAATTCCTGAAAACCACCTATTTTTTCGATCATCACAGTGGCTATACCCCTTAAGACTAAGAAGTGTATTATATTACTTTAATGTGAATCACTTGAACAAAAAATAGCTTCCATTTCTTGCTATCTTATAAAAAAGATAAACACACCTTTGCTTACATAAGAAAAAAAAAAACAAAATATTGAAAGAAAAATAAATAATTTCAGGTGCCAGTGGAACGTCGCACGCTACCGACCGATTTACCAGGTCCCTCACGAAGACGTACCACAACGAAACAGTCTCCATCAGGCGATACTGCAATGGGAACACCGATTATGGGGACAATAGTACCTCCGGGAAATTCAGGTATGCAAACGTCATGCTCGCTTCCTGAAACACCGGTGTTTGCTCGAGGAAGCGATATTCCCCGCACGCCTCAGCATACTTCAGGCAACACATTATCCACAACGACCTCGACGATGTCTACGGCCGCCACCCAGCCCCGAAGACAGCCCGGCTGGTACGCGCCAACAACTGCTACAACCGGAGGGTATTTATCTTTCCAATAAAAGCAAAGCTAATAAAAATTACAACCATAAATTGCCATTAAAAAAAAAAAAAAAAAAAAAAAAAAAAAAAAATGATATTAATCTCAAAAAATTTCGCAGGTACCGACGCAACAACCCAGGCCTAGAGCAGGCGATAATCGGGACAGAGCTGCTCCGTCTGGCAGGAGGACCAAACCGTGGGTGGTACCCGACTCGTCGAGGAGCGAACCAGCCGCGACCTGCCTCGATCGAACACCTGGAGCGTCTGAACAGTGCCTACGAATCCCGACTGCCCACCGCCGGGGAGCAGAGGAAGCCGCTGACTTTGCCCACCAACATAACGCCCAACAAATACTTCGGTCAAAGTAAGCACAGCTCTGCCACTTCCGGCACTCGCGAGGCACTTCGGAGGGTCACTAGCTTGCTCATCAAGAAAGGTAAGTGCCGGGCTTTGCTATACCTCCCGTCTCCACCGACTCCTTTATTTCCACCCCGATCCCAGGTAATCCAATTTATATTAAGCTGTACAGTGTAAGCTCAAGCTCTAGCTAATGAGACCGCTTTTAAATATTTTCTCTCTATGTGCTTAACTATTAATAACTATTAATTTTAGCTACTCGTCCATTATTAATTGTTGTAGATTATTAAATGTAAGTTACTTCACAGGTTAATTTTTTTATTAATTTATTTTTTATTTAAAGAAGATGATGTTTAAAATTTTTATTAATTATTTGATCTGAAATTTTTTTATTAATTTATTTTTTATTTAATTAATTTTTTTTTATTTTTATTAACTTATTTTTTTTATTTTTATTGATTTATTTTTTATTTAAAGAAGATGATGTTTAAAAATTTTTATTAATTATTTGATCTGAAATTTTTTTATTAATTTATTATTATTTTTTATTTAAAGAAAATGTTCAAAATTTTTTATAAATTTACAAAAAACAAAAATTTACCTGAGAAGTTAATTTACTTTTAAATATTATAATTTATAATTTAGTTATTTTATATTTTTGGTAATTAAAAAAATCCTAGACCAATAGTGATTTGCATTTAGATATTCCGTTGATTGGATTTAGATGTGTAGCGATCGTTCCAGTAGCTGCACGAGCTTAACTACCAGTAGCAGCCCGGTGCCTTTGGTGACTAAAGGGCACAAAGGGCTTTGGATCGATGTCGAATGTCGAGACCCACAATACACGCTATTTAATTTTCCCGTACCGGGTTCAGTAGCTCTGGTTCATTTAAAGTTTTAAATTCACCAAAGAGAAGCTATTTCTTGGCCCGTAGACTGGCTCCATCTGCCGGATATCTCCATTGAAGATCTCCATCAGCAGCTGAAACTACTTACACCCATGCGACATACAAATGGAATTACACATACGTCCACCCATCGACGCATTGAGAGTGGGTTCTGTTATGTATGAGAAGACGACCTTGAAAGCACGATAGAGAGGACAAGGCCTCGCTTTACTCAAAGCTTGCTCTTGGATTACACACTTTATCTTCTAAGACGCAAGGCGTCTGTGTCGTCTCACTACACATTATTATTATTATTATTATATTATTATTCTTATCTTTATTTCTTCTTTTTCTGTATATTGCCTTGACGTATGGAAGACTTTCGCCGGTTTCGGTCAAAGCCTCGTGCCAGATACCATCGTCTCGAACCTTGGAATCATCAATATCTGTCATCATCACTGTTAAATAAAATCTTCGATTGCAAGTGTCCTAATCAAAAATCACAAGAAGAAATAATTATTGATCCGTGGAGGACACACGGGGTCCAGTGGACCCCACTCAGCAAAACAGTTCTAATTCGTTTTCTATGTGATGTATTGACTTATAATTGGCACCAAACTTTAATATAACATTTCCTCTAAATATCTTAAAAGGGGCACAACCAGTGTGACAGCCTAAAAAAAGGCGATTTTTCGGAATTGAAATATAAAAAACTCCTGTATGAATTGTCTTTAAATTTTAAGGGTATATTAATACATATTTTAAGAATATACAGTAAAATTTTTGAAGAAAAAAATTTAATATTTTTCGAGTTACACGCGATCTCCGACGGCGCTAAAAAAAAAGGTTCTCCGCTGCTGGAGTGATTCCACCCTTCTCCGTGGATAAAACCAAAAAAAAAAATTCTCATTAAACTAGAAGATATTATCCGTATGATGACCCACGGTGGGCGTTTTTTAAAAAAAAGTTGAATTTTACCCAAAATTTTGGTCGTTTTTGGCCTGCTAAAATTCGATTTTTGATCAGATAAAAAAACTGAAGGGTCTTCGTATTGAGAACTATATACAGAACATGCAGAAAAAAATTGGTAGTGATTGGATCATTTGTCTTCGAGAAATCACTCTAGCAAGTTCGAAAAATGCTGTTTCGAGAAAAACGCGTTTTTCTGTAGCTAATGCAACGATCTAACTGCCGAGCGGCTGCCTTTTAAATGGCTGTAACTCAAAAACTATTTGAGATATCGATTTAAAGTTTGAGTATGTTATTTTTAAAGGTATAATCTATCGAGATATGAAAAAAAAATCGATTTTTTGAAAATTTCACACTGGTTGTGCCCCTTAATGGTTATTTTTAATTTCTAATAATTTAAAAATACTGAAAAATCATTTAGAAAAAAAAAACTTACAAAATTGAACCTTTTTTGTAAAAAAAGTCGCAGAAATTTTGATTTTTACGATATCAAAAAAAAATCGACGCAATTTTATTTGGAAAACAATATATTTTAAGGAAAAAAATCAATATTTGATGAAGTTTGAAAAAAATATATTTATTCTGAAGTTTGAAGTTACGAATTTCGGTCAGTTGCTTAAAATGAGAATAAGACATTTAAACATGCAAAATAATATAGAAAGATTTAGTTTTTTGTTATAAAACTCTTTTATTATATTTATTACAGTAAAAAAATAGAAATATCTTCAAGAATATCAATGAAATCAGCCGTAAATTAGACTAACTTTCACTTACAAATCTCCTTCTAAATTTAAAATTGCCTCAAAGTTCGCCTGGGGTCCACTGGACCCCGTGTGTTCTCACCGGGTTAATAATATAATATAACAATATAATCAGAAGAAGAAGAAGAAAACACAAGGAGAGCCTCAGGTAGTATTTTATTATAGTATAAAGGATTTATATATGAAAATCCTTTGAGAGCCGGAGTTAAGCTTGGAGCTGTTCAAGGACCCAAAAGATACGATGAATTCCATCTGGAGGAAATCTACCCTGATGAGAAAACGATAATGCTCAGCCGATTGAAAAACACCGAGCTAGCATTTCTCTGGTTATGCTATCAAACTGACAGACTATCAAGCTTGGCTCTTTGCTTCTATTAGCTACAGAGCACCGAGTGCTTTTGCTATTGCCACTGTATACCGTATCACCTTTACTTGTGCTTATGGTGTAGACTGCATATTACTCGCGTCAGCAGCGTGTCCTCATTTTATCATCACCAACAATCACGTTATCTCAATACGAATGTCGATTGAGGAACTTTCCAGGCTAACAATACTCTATACTACCTGTACTCTGCATCTGTTATATATTTTACTATTATATATATATACTTATCGATGCTTTTATTTATCGAGCGTTATCGCACAAGTGTCGAAATGTTCCAATCACACTTAAATTTGCAATTGTGGATAAAACCCGATACCTCGACATATATATCTGAAAATAATGCCCGAGAAGAAATGGATTTTATTTTTTTTTAGTCTGTAAAAATTTATATTTTTTAAATTGGGGTTTTTTTATAAGGTACATTTTTTATATTTATTTTACGCAGTTGTAGAATGCATGATTGCTATCAAATATCCTAAAGCTATGTTATATAGTATGAAATTTTTATTTTTTAATATTTATCTAATTATTAATAATACTAAAATTGATAATTTTTACAATTTTTTTAACCCAATTAAATTTTAAATTTAGGAGATTTATAAATGAGACTTAGTCCAATTTACGACTGATTTTATTGATATTCTTGAAGATATTTCTATTTTTTTATTGTAATAATTATGATAAAAAAGTTTTATAACAAAAAACTAAATCTTTCTAGAAAAAAATATATAAATATATTTTTTTCAAACGTTATCGAATATTGATTTTTTTTTTCTTAAAATATATTGTTTTCCGAATAAAATTGCGTCGATTTTTTTTGATATCGTAAAAATCACAATTTCTGCGATTTTTTTTATAAAAAAAGTTCAATTTCGTAAGTTTTTTTTTTTTTTAAATGATTTTACAGTATTTTTAAATTATTAGAAATTAAAAATAACTATTAAAATATTTAGAGGGCATGTTATATTAAAATTTGGTGCTAATTATAAGTCAATACATCACATAGGAAACGAATTAGAACTGTTTAATAAATAAATAGTAGGAAAAAAAAAATTATAATGTAATTTCTAAAAAATAATTTTCAATACCTAGTTTAATTAAAAAATTGTCAAGTGTCTGCTAGTGAAATTATTCGGTATTATAATTATTTAAAATATTTTTTATAGAAAAAAAAAAAAGTGTAAAATCGATCCATTGAACGTAAACATTTAAACAGCCTATTTTTCCAGGCCAACTGGACTAATATCAGAATTAAACGAGCGTCTAACTCAGTGGAGGCGTAAAACTACTAAAATAAAACTAAAAAGGGCAAGCGGTAAAAAAAATGACCCACGGAGAGAGTGAAGGAGCTAGCCTGGCGTAATCTAAAATAGTTACAGTTACTGTTGAAGTATTATGACCCGGCAGGAGGGAAGAATAATAATATTGAGTTAAGTAGAACACATGGAGTAAATGTTTTTTGAAAACTCAGTAGGCCCGGTAGAGTACAGGTTTGCTGGTGATTATTGGACGAGGGCGGCTGGTATTACACGGATGGGGTCGACGGAGCGAAGGGCCAAGGTGGAGGGCTCGAGGAGTAAAATATGACCGAGGAAGATAGTGAATATTACTTGGCATGGTATGGAGCGGAGCAAGATGGATACTGGTGTACCGAGGACGAGGTAACGGACGTTTTAGCTGGAGGCAAGAATCGTTACTCTCGTCTGCTAACTTGTCTACTATGCTGTTTCCAAAGAACAGAGATCTTTACTCTTTACTCATTCTCTTTTCACCTTGCTGTATTGTTGAGGACGTCAAAGAGCCTTGTTATATATGTGTACCTATTCTATAGACAGCAGACGATCCACCACGTACTGAGAGTTGAGGGAGTTGAGAGTATGAGCTCTCAAACATGACAAAACGGGCTAGGTAAAGTCATTTTATACCTACCGATACTACTGAGGATCGCGCAAACTTTGCGAAATACGATCATCACTTTATGGAATTTAGTTATACAAAATGGATACAGTTTCGACATGAGTTTTATTGTAATTATTTTCTGCTTTTAATCTCGACAGAACAATGTGCTTCGCTTCAGAGAATGATACTGGGATCTAACTCACTTGATCTACTTGATGATTTAGTGCATACAAAGGGATGGACAAGCTTCATTCTGGAAAATTAATTATTTTTTGTTAAAGGAAAGAAGATATATATTCTGATTGTTTGAAAATGTTAAATTAGAAGAAGTTGATGATTTATTAATTAAATGTAAAATTTTTTTTTAAATAAATTAATTAATCAGATCTTAATAATTAATTAAATAATTATAAGATATTTAAAATTAAATAATTAATTGGAAGATCTTAAAAATTAATTAATGAAAATAATTTAAAAATTAATAAATCAGAAAATTAAAAAAAAATTAATTTTTTTTTAAATTAATTAATGAAAAATTAAAAAAAAAGATTAATTAAAAAATTAAAAATGAATGAATTAATTAAGCAGATCTTAAAAATTAATTAATGAAAATAATTTAAAAATTAATTCAGATGATCTTAATCAAAAAATTAATTAATTAAAAGATCTTAAAAATTAAATAATTACTCAGATTTAGAAAAAATTTTAAACTAAGAATTTACTCCAAGTTTAAATAAATTTTATCTAAAAAAATTTTTCTTTTTAATTCAAGATAATCTTCATTAAAAAAAATTTTTTTTTTATTCAAATTAATTTTTGTATCAGTGTAAGAAGAAATGACAAATAGCGCAAAATTTGTGATTATATCACAAATAACTAAAATTTTTCAAACAAGCAAACAAATATTTAGAACCAACAGTATTTTCGATACAAAATTTATCCATGAAGAAATATCTGTTACATGTATTAAATCAGTATACCTGACCAGAGAAGTATAAACTAGATAGAAGTATTTTAATAGAACTATAAATTATTTTCGGTTTTAACTACCTACGGACAATAGAGAGAACTTGTCCCACAACAATATGCTGGGAAAATTTATATTCAGTGAATGATAGTGAGATAAGCCATAATCTAGTGGAGTGGTTTTAGTTTCTGGTTTTCTCCAGACTCGTACCTACACCAGGAAGCTAAAAAGTTTGACAATCAAAACAATGCTCTGAAACTAGTAAAATATCGAGATAAATTAATGTGAATTATAAATCGCATTTGGAGAAGAATGCAAAGTCCTGTACAGAAAGAGTGAGAATGCAGAGTATAGGACACAGACGAGTGCGCTCGCGACTCATGGCAAGTTATTGATTTATTCCAAGGGCGAACAACCTACCGGCAGCAAGCATAGCACCGCAGTGGCAGCAACACCCCCGACATCTCTTCCCCTTTTCACGCTTCCCTTTTCCAGAGTACAGTACACCCGGTACGGTCACTCTGCTTAATAATATCCACTGCATTCATTCCTCTTTAGTTGTTGAAAAACAAAAAGTTAAAACATACTTAGCTTCACTCCTATCCATGCACCGTGCACCATTCAGTAGTTAATGGATGAGCAGATGATCACCTTTTTCCTTTTATCTCTCAACTTTTACCTTTTTCTGCGTACATATCAATCAGAATGTCTTTTTCTTCAGCTTGTAAATATTTATCTATTATTTTCATTAGTATGATCATGAAAATAGCAGACGTTTAAAAAATTTTTTATTAATTAAATTAGAACTAGGAAAATTTGTATTTTTAGTTATAAAAATTTTTTATCTAACAATTTTTATAAAATTTTTATTTAATAAATTATAACAAAAAAATTTATTTAAAAAATTACATTTTTAGGAGCTCTAAAAAATTACAAGTAAATTTTTTTTTTAATAATTTTCTAGACCTTGTTTATTATTTAATAAAAATTTAAAAAAAAAGTGTCAAGTGTCTCAAGTCTACAAATTTTAATGTCATTTTTTATGATACTAAAATTGAGAGAAATTCAAAAATTTTTTAATTAATAAATTATAACAAAAAAAAAAATTATTTAAAAAATTACATTTTTAGAAGCTCCAAAAAATTATAAGTATAATTTTTTTTTAATAATTTTCTAGATTTTGTTTATTATTCAAAAAAAAATTGTAATTTTTTAAAAATAAATTTTTCAATAAAAAAAATCGTAAAAATTTTCAAACATCTGCTAATTTCATTTCGATAAAATAGTACGTATCTAAAAGTATGAATAATGATATGAAATAGATTTATTAGAATATGTAGATATATTAAATATAGTATGTGTGCAGTAGTTGAGCAAAAAGGGGACTGGGAGACGCCAGGAAGCGCGTTCTCCTTCCATTCCCATAGTGGTACGGATTTTAAATTCACATTTTTATTTATTTATTTATTATCATTATTATCTTTACGTATATTATTACTTTCCATGGGTTGTATTCAATAAAATAAAATGCTTCTGCACGTTAAGGCCCAAGGCGGAAGCGTACATACCTGGGTATGTACCTAAAAATATGTTTCCACTTTAACATTCGTACATAAATATTTATATAATAAAAAATAATAGATAGTTGTGAAGAAATAAATATACAAGTGGGTGAATGAGAACAAAAATATTTCAACAGCCGTGTGGTGATGAGTTTAACGGTAATACGTTAAACTCGGAGTATGTTTGTTCAAGTAGTATATATAGTTGTTCATTAATTGCATACCAAAGTTGCTCTATGACTCAACTAGCGCCTAGATTCGTCTACGTATGCTCTACTGGCAATAATCATACCTAGTCTTCTCTCAGTACACATATACACAGCAAAGCAGGGTATTTTGAAATTTAAAGAGAAGCTTTGGTACGCTGAGTACTGAGTACTGTTAACGAGAGAGTTTACTAATTTAATTATACATATATATTTTACCTAATTCTCATTTATCTTTCATTTGTAATTAAGCTTGTTATATCTTAGTTTGTATAGTCACTCTGTTATTGTGTATTTAATTAAATTGTTTTGATTTCTTCTTTTTACAGGAAGCACCAAGGAGACCAAGGGAACTGGAAAGGATGTCTTTCCTGCTGGACCATACTCTGGTTAGTTTTTTTTTTTTTATTTGAGGTACTAATTTATTTATTTTATAATAGGTGAGAAGAATTTTTTTCTGTGAAGAAATAAATAAGTTTTTTTAAGTTGTAAGACCAAGTTGACATTTTAACTTGAAGGATGATGTTATTTTGTCGGGCTTTTTATTAAATCCTTCGAGAAATTGAGGAAAAAAGCTCATTTAAGATGTCTGACACCATTAATTAATTATCGGTTTCTCTGGAGTGACACCTAAGAGAATTTGAGCTATTAATTTGTTTTGTAAGCTTATTAAGGATGTTTTTGTGTAAAGAACGGATTAAATTGTCATCAGAATTTCTTTAGGTCTTTGATGAGTTTAGTGTGATGTTTAATTATAGTGGTAGGATTTTTTAGGATTTATAAAAATTTTTTAATTGTTTAGGAAATTATTTTAAAGTTATTTAATATTTATAATATTCGTCTAAAATATTTATTTTAATTTAATAACAATTTTTTTGTGTTAAAAAATTTTCTAAGCCAAACAATATTATTCCAAAAAATATTTTGAATTAATATTGAATATTTTTCATTATAAAAAAAAATTATTTAAATTAATTAATTAATTTCTAACAAATTTTTTTATTAGTATAAAAATTTAAATTAAAATAATTTTAAATTGTTATTTCAAATTTAAAATTTTTATCATTATAAAAAATAATTTAAATAAATATTAAATATTTGTAATGATAAAAAAAAATTATTTAAATTAATTAAAAAAATTATTATCATTACAAAAATACAATTATTATATTATTAGAATAATTAAATTTATTCAACTAATTGATATCTGTAAAAGTAAAAAATTAATTAGCTTCTATTAAAACTTTATAATTATGTACTCTGTATTCTGTATAGATTCTAATTGGTTAAAATTGCACATAAACGTACAACTATGTATATTATAGAATAAGATAAGTATTAATGAAGATATAAATTATGTCGACGATAAATATTTATAGCTTAGAGTTATTTTAACAAATGTGATTTATATTTATAGTATATTTACGTCATTGAATATTCGAGGGGGTGGTATTAATGTCATCTGAAGAAATTGTAATAATAATATCACAAAAAGAAGACACATCGGATCTAGAAATAACAAGAGCGGTGAACGAAAATAATCTGTTAAACTCTTTCAAGATTTACGGAGTAATGACAGAGAATCCAAGAATGTCCTCGATTTTATGTCAATATTAAATATCCTGAGGCTCTGCTAAGTCAAGCTAGCTAGATCTTCTTTCTACGGAGCAATAAAAATTTTCCAGGGCATTTTTCAGTAGGTCTAGGAAGAAATAAAAAATAAAATAATATAAGGAAAAAATAGTCGAGTTGAGAAAGATGAGACGGTGGAAAAGATTGAAAAGTGTAGAGCACGGAATGTAACTAAAATATCTCACGATAATTTTTTGGTAGCTGCGGTCTCGTTATTTTCGGCAGAGTCACAAGTTAAAGTGAAAATACACGGAGCTTATGAAGAACAAGAACAAGAGAAGAAAGAAGAAAGTAAAGAGGCTTGTTGGTGGTTATGCTTCGTCGACACTTCTTACCACCTAACCAGCTCGAGCTTATTTTCACAGCAGTAACGCTGATGATACTTTCTTATGCGCTCTCTTTCCTTCATAAACGGTTGGCTTGACTCTTAGACTCTTCGTCTTAGACCAAGAAGACTATGCCAGTCTAAGTTTGCGGATCAGCTGAAAAAAGTCCAAGAGAGAAGAGCACAAACATGAGACAAAATTACCGAGCCGGTAAAGAAGCTGACAGACATTACTTCTAAGGCGGAAGCCAGCTCTCCGGCTCGGGTCTTACCAAACAAAACTAAACTAACGACTTAACTGTACTGATAATGTTATATCGCATTGGCTGTACGTACATCGGATCAATAAACGAGTCTTGTCTTGACATACTAGACATAATACCGTTCCATTCCTAACAAAGTTGTTGCTGAAAAAAGCCAGACCTTCGAAGAAATCAATTGAATCAAACGACTTACCATCAGTTATCTCTTGGAACTAATACATCTAACAGCATCCGCTATTTTTCACTCGCCTCTATTTAGTCGCTAGTTTAAGTACTAGAAGAACTACATTGATTAATTTATGCTTACTGATCAAGCGATGGCTTTTTTTTTTTGACACTATTGACTAAATCTAATGGAGAAATTTATTAGGGGCATTCCATATATTAACTAATTATGATTATGATTTCTCTTACAATCTCAAAGACATTTATAAAACTCTACTTATACATCTAGATTGAACAAATAGTCAAAAATTTTATTCTTGAAAATGACTAAAATTTTTTAATTTCTCTAATTCATTCTAATTTATTATTAAAAGTTCATATTTTAAAAAATTTTTTTTAATCAATAAGAAAATCAATTTTTCTCTCCTAGTAACTTTTCAGCCGTACTAATTTGTATCCGGGTCAAATGTTGTTTTAATAGTTTTAAAAACAAATTCATTTTGTTTGTTATTAACTAACATATTTATTATTATAGTTTTAAGAACAAATTTTTTTATGTTCGTTATTAATTAACACCTAAGTTTATCAAGATCGTGTTGTCAGCATGCTAAATCCTTTATTTGTGTTTTTTAATTAGTTTTTTTTTAATTATCCTAAATAATTTATAGTTAAATTTATAAACAATAATGTTTCTAAGGTTGAAATAATATAAAAGTCTTTTTAATAAACAACTTCATGTACACATTTTGTACTTGTCCCACCAGTTACAAATGCCCGTCTCACCAGTCACAATAAAAAAAATTTTTTTAATTGTTTCTGCGTAGGTAATCAGTCTAATTCTTCATAATATTGAATGTTTGTAGGATTAATTTTGTATTGAGAGGGAAGTATTTTTTAAAAGTTTAGTGGTCGAACTGAAATTGGACTTTAAGTATACCCTTGGTAAGAGAGAAGAACTTTTTGATGTCCCACCAGTTACACTCAGTCAAATGATAATTACGAGAAACTTAAAAAATAATCGAGGTTTTTGACAAAGGAATGTTGTTAATTAGTTATTCTTCTGTATTATAAGATAAATTTTACTGTAGTATAAGTTTTAGTCATATAATTATAACTTATAATTTTTGGAATTCCAGTATCAAATGTTCCACCAGTTTGTTTTTAATGATTTTTATTTAATACAAATGTATTAAAATTTTTTTTTATTTTTTAAAATTCTGTTTTATAAATGTTGGAGAAATTTATTCAGGTTTATGTATATTCTAGAAATGAAGAACAAATATTATATTCCTACTGGAGAGATCTCATAAAAATGACAAAAACAGAATCTACATGAGGCATAAGTTTTTATGTATTTGTTCATATTCTTGTGTTTTCCACAAAAATCTATGATTATATCTCTCCAGCAGGGATCTATTTATGCTAAATTGTTCAGTATGTAAACATTATCTTTAAATTCTAAGCTATTGTACTATATTTTGTTTTTTTTTTTTTATTAGATATTTATATTTTGTAATAAATTTTAATGGATTGAAGTGAAGAAATTTAAGCTTCATATTTTTAAAGAATTAATTTTTTAGGTAATACCTGTTACTGAAAAAGTTTGAGATGTTTATAGGTACAGATGTTAATGAGTTTCTTAAGAATTTAAGGCGTTACATATTTATTAGACCTTAAATTATTTAAAGCTATTCATTTCATAGAGATGAGTTATACAAAAATTTTTTATTATTAAATTTTTATAAAAATAAATTATCAAAGTTTAATTTTAATAAAAATAAATTATTAAAATTTAATTTTTATAAAAATAAATTATTACCAAGAAAAAAAATGAAAATTGGTAATAAAATTGAATCTAATGTAAATGTACAGAAATTTTTTATTATTAAATTTTTATAAAAATAAATTATCAAATTTAATTTTTATAAAAATAAATTATTACCTAAGAGAAGAAATAAAAGTTGATAATAAAATTTAATCTAATATAAATTTACAGAAATTTTTTAATATTAAATTTTTATAAAAATGAAATATCAAAGCTTAAAATTTTATAAAAATAAATTATTACTAAGAGAAGAAATGAAAGTTGATAATAAAATTTAATCTAATGTAAACGTAGGAAATAAAATGATAATGAATATAACGATAAAATAAAATCCAAGTAGGACTATTTTGTAACGGAAGTGGTTACTTAAAATGCGGGACGTCGCGAGACGCGTCCGGCTGTGGTTTCTAAACTTTTTTAGTTTGTCAGACTGGTAGCTTCATTGTTAACTTGGTTAAGCAGCAACTTAATTAAACAATAGTCTTGATTAATAAATTAATTAAATAAATTTATGGAACACTTGATGATAAAAGAATGAATTTTTCAGGTGGAGAACCCAGCGACGTACCAAAGAAGAAAGGATTCTTCAAGAACTTCTGGAAACGCTCGCGGCATTATTCCCTGGAGAATCAATAGCCCAGGTGTTACCTTGCGGTTAAATGTCGCCAGCCACGTCGCGGAGATTTCTTATCGCCTCAGCAGAGTTATTTAAACAAACAGCGCATTAATGGCAGCAGCAATAATGACCAGCACCAACAGGAGCAGAGTCAGGATGATAATCAGGATAAAACTCAGAATCAGCAGCAAGAGCAAGAACAACAATTACAAATGGCTACGACAAATATAATTGAAAATCCTTGCTGCTGTATTGCGCAGTGAAATCCCGACAGCGTGACCTCACTAAAAAAATAATAAAAAAGTGTGATTCGTTAAACTGTAAAGCCAGTATTGTAGCGGTGGTAGCGATTAAGAGGGCGTTTTAACGGGAGCCTAGACGCTATTGAAACCTTTTTTTAACTTTTTTATTCTCTATTTATTATACTCGGTTGCTTTTCAATCTTTTTCTCTCTAGAACTTTATAAATTCCCGAGGCTTGCTTTCGAAATGAGTTCCATTAATATTTTAAACAATCTGGTGAGTAAATTTACTCAACGTTTTACTTTTTTATTATTAGTACTTCTGATATTATACTCCTAGTATTATTATTATTATTATTATTATTATTATTATTATTATTATTATTGCTTATAATTATAATAATAATGACGATTGTATTATAGGGTGATGATCAGAAATTCAATCTAAAGTTTTGGGATTTTTATTCTGAATACTTAGTTATTTTTATGATATTGTTTTAAAAGTCATCATCTTGTAGAAAAAAAATAATAATAATAACTAGCAACCTTACAGTCACTATGTGGCTGTCGTGACTTGTGAACTAAAAAAAATTAAAATTTTGCTTTATTAAATAATTACTTTTGTTAAATTGCACTGTACTTTCTTAAATATTGACGTTTTTAAAGATATAAGCTCATCCCGACGTTAGACTCATCAAGAGCTTTCATTTGAGTACCCACATGCATTTTTTATATATTTTTCACATATACATATATATAAATATATGAAATATATGAAAAATTGATGTGGGTACTCAAATGAAAGGTCTCGATGAGTGTAATTTGGGGATGAGCTTATATCTTTAAAAATGTCAATAGTTCACAAGATATAAGGTCATTTCTTAATTATTGACATTTTTTAAGATATAAACTCATTTCGATATTACACTCATCGAGACCTTTCATTTAAGTACCCACATGGCATTTTTTATATATTTTATATATATGGTATATGTATATATATAAATATATGAAAAATTGATGTGGGTACTCAAATGAAAGGTCTCGATGAGTGTAACATCAGGATGAGCTTATATCTTTAAAAATGTCAATAGTTCACAAGATATAAGGTCATTTCTTAATTTTGACATTTTTTTAAGATATAAACTCATTTCGATATTACACTCATCGAGACCTTTCATTTAAGTACCCACATGGCATTTTTTATATATTTTATATATATGGTATTTGTAAAATATATAAATATATGAAAAATTGATGTGGGTACTCAAATGAAAGGTCTTGATGAGTGTAACATCAGGATGAGCTTATATCTTTAAAAATGTCAATAGTTCACAAGATATAATTTTATTATTATTATTATTATTATTATTGAAATTTTAAACAAATTCCACTTAATAATAATAAATAAATAATTATAGTATTTAATAGAAACCACTTAACTAAAATGTAATTATTTTTTGTTACAGTGACATTAAATACAGTAAGCAATAATTATAAGGAAAAGGCTAATAAAAACCGATTTGTACAAGACTTAAACGGAGAAATAGAGATGTTGTCCAGAATTCCAGTCACCGTAAAGTAGTACGAGTGAAGTAAAGTTCAAAGAGGATAACAAGTGACTTCAAAGTGTTATCGCTTCAATACCATACCAATATCAATACCACTACCACTACTTATACTAGACTACCGTTCGAATTACAAAGTTTACTGTCAGTAGTTGCTCGCCAGTAATTGTCGCTTTGTTTATGTTGTTCAGAGTATATATATTAAAAATAACAATAATACTATTTATTATTATTGTTATAACGACACGAAATGATTTTTTAACTAGCATCACAAACGATAAATGATAACAATAATAATATTAATTAATAATATATTTATAAATTATAATCGAATTAATAAATTAATCTAAATATAATGTAAAAGTTCGAAGTATTTTTTCACATACGCTTTGCTCGAATGGAAAATAATAAAACAATTGATATTGAAATTACTAATGAGCATTATGCGTGTTATCGCACATTACTAGTCGAAACAAGATGCAATATAGTTAATCGCTTACGCGAAAAGATAAGCGGCTGAATAAAGTGAAAAAAAAAAAAATAAAAAAAAATAAAAATAAATAAAAGTTAGTAGTTTCGTCAACATTTATGCGTGACTCAACTTACCGCAAATCGATTTATGTCTTGATAAAAATCGTTCCGTTAAATTTAATGTATATGCAGATATATATATGGTTACGTATGCACATAAAAATATTTAATAACAATAATAATAATAATATAAAATTAATATTATAAGTACGAATGATAATTAATGTAAAAGAATCTTCGTAAGAAATGTAACGATCTCGAGCACACTTAAATATGATACTAAAATTAAAAATCTGACAATTTTAGGATTTTTATCAACTAAATTTTTTTTTATATTTTTTTAGTTTTTATTTATTAAAAAAAAAAAAAATTAATTTTAGTATCATAAAAAAATAAATAGTTTGTTATTATAAAAGCTTATGCAATGTAAAACAATATAGTATTGATATAAATATATCACCGGCATTTTACAATGGCCAAGAGTATAAATATATATATATAAATTTATATAGAAGAATATAAATATGTGTAACTAACTTTTATGACGGCGACAATTTCATTCGAGTAGGATTGTTGACTTAGTTTATATACTCCAATAAACAATTACTATATGTGTACTCAAATTGAAATTGTATAAAAACAATAATAATAATAATAATAATTAATTGATAGTTCTTCTAAGATTGATAAAGCTATTGGAATCTTATCACGTAGTTAACTTTTAAATATAATTAATAATAATTATAAGCTGTTGAGAATGAAACTAAGTAACATAATTGTGGATACCCAACCCAAGTACCGAACTACATGCCTTAAATTTTAGTAAGAGATTAATAACACGTATTTATGTATATTGTCGAACCTGGCGCACATAACTCATGTATTAATTGTATTAATTAATTATATATTGATATTAGACTCGAAGTTGGTACGTAAAAAAAAGTTATATTAAATTAATAAATAGTTAACTGTATTTATGTACTACGCTAAATTAAAATTAATATAAAGGCAATAATGGTAAACTAATTCTGGTATTTTACTACCGGAGAAGTTTATTTAGCCTGTGATGTATATATAATAATAATAATAATAATATATATGTATGTGTTTAGTATTAAAACTATTCATTTTTATTACCAGGATAATTAAAATGGATAACGTATCACTTGTTTATTTTAATCTCCCTGAGTAAAACCCAAGAGTTTGCCCGAGTCGCCAAAGATTAAGTACAAAATCTGTAGCTTTACGATTTAGCGATCGGCTCGGTTTTTCTCAAGGATTTTATCGGAGAAATTAAAATAAATATCATACATATTTAATAATTAAAATTTAAAATGGGTCAACTAAATTATTAATTGATAAAAATATTTAAATTGTACTGCCCTCGCAATGGATTTGTAAGCCAAAGTAAAAGAGATTAATTATTGAGGGTGAATTTTTAAATATTCTATGAGCTAATTTTTTATTTTTTATTTTTATTTAAAAAAATTTTTTTAATATTTTAGTTAAAAAAAAACCGCTTGTAAAATATTTTATAATTCACCCAAAATTAACTAATTATAATAATAATAATTAAAAGTTAATATTAATATTAATCATAGTGAATAATTGTATGTTTAAATGATTGAATAATTTTAAATAATTATTTATTAACTAATGCCGTGGTATTTATAATAGATTTTCTATGTATGCAAATAATCAGACGTATAATCGTCATAATTATTATTAATTAATTAGTGATAAAAAATTGCCGGCGTTGATATAATAAATCCGAGAATAACAATAACACTTTTGTACGTAGTTACTCGGTAATAACAAATTGTGTTTTATTTTTTTATTGTCAAAATAATTTACTTACCTTTTTAAAATTAAATATTATTAAATAAATATTTTTAAAAAATATAGCAGACATTAAAAAAATTTTTTTTTAATGAAAAAAAAATTTTTATTAAAAAAAAATTTTTTTAAATGTTTGCTGCATTGTCATTAAAAAAAAAAATAATAAAAATAAAACAATTATTAAGAATGGAAAAAAAATTATAATTGTAATAATAATAATATCTAAATATTAATTATTATCGAGGACGTATTTTAAAACGTACGAACAACAGACGTTTTTTTGTACACCACTTTATACAAATTTATTACTTTATTATTAACACAATTTTACTTTTGATGTATGCAAAAGAAAAAAAAAAAAGAAACTTACGATAAAAGATCGTTTTACAAAGCTAGAGCTATAATAAAACCGGCATGTAGACTCCTTCATCCATATTATTTAAAAACTCGACAGTTAAGTTGTCGCCTATTATTATCATAATAATTTTATTTTATTTAGACATTTAAAAACCTTTGCTTAATTAATAATTAATTAGTTGATAAATCCAAATTAAAAATCCTATCGCAAATCTCGCTTCAAGTCTCCGTAGAAGCCTCTTAATTTTCTGGTGATCAGTTATATATTTGTCGTCGCAGCTCCAAACACACACACAAAATGTATGCCCTTAAGAGGTAACCACCAGTACACACCTGCAGTACTCGTGCTCATAAATACACATGAACAGGAACTGCGACATCGCTGCAGACTAAAATAAAAAATTGTTAAGAAATAATTATTTTTAAAATTTACAATTATCAATTTTTATTTAGTTTTTATCAATAAAAATTGTTACATAGGTATATCTGATGTCATCATCAATGGGCTGGCGCTTGGCACAATTTTTAATAATCCGCAAGCCACCAAATTTTCGACATTTAAATTGTATGTCCACTAATGTTTAATTTTTAATCATTTTTCATTTATTTATTTATTTTATTTTTTTAGTAAATAGTGCTAGCAGTAATAGTGTAGCGGGAATAAGTGTAGCAGAATAGTATTAGCAGCAGCAGAAAAACGGTACAGAAAAATTACAATTAAATACATTGTTATTAATTAATTTTATAAATTTTATCAATTTACTGACACTGAATTTAAATTACTACTTTACGTACACAAACATAATAATAGTTAAATAGTTTTACCCAAAACGGAGCGACGGGATCAACTTTTTTTTTCTATTTCCTTTAAACAGTTTAATGGTAACACATAAGTAAGTAATATAAGGAAATCCTTAAAAAGAGTGTTTGACAGCAGTGATCCGGTTGACATACTTAGTAAACGCTCATTGACCGGTTTATTTAAAGTTATCGGTTACATTTATTGATATCCCGTCATTCGTGTTATTTTTTCATTACAAAAGTGCTAACGCAAAATTTTACATAGACGACATCGTTTTTGTCATTATTTATATCCATTATTAATTATTATCATTATAATTATTATAGTGTATATAAATAGTAGTAGGTATCGCTGCTTATTTTTTTTTATTTTTAAAGTTTCATTACAAATTTATCATTAAAAAAATCTCGCGCCCATATCTGTTTATCATTAATCATTAATATTAATTATTAATATTATTACTTATTATTTTTATTCCATTAATAAAAAATCTCAGCAGTATGACACATCTATCTTATACAATTAGCATGTAATGTATGACAATGAGTAGCTCGAAAAAAAAATCAAAAAAAAATATAATTTAAAAAAAATTCTAATGAGTTTTGAGTTGAGGACCGCGTTGTCACAGGTAAAGGATGCAGCCGATCGATTCCCGGACGCCGCTTTGGTTTTCTTATCACGCTTTAGCCACACCGCGCTTTATTTATCATCTCCTCCTATTTATTCTCTTCCTTCAGAAGTGCTTTCAGTATTTTTGTTCTTATCTCCAGACCTTACACGAACTTTGTGTTTGCGGTTCATTTTATTTCCACCTTTCTCTCTTTCACACATTATCATTGCACACACTATTACAATAAATGATTACACTTATTTTAAAAACGCACACATCAACCATTTTATTATTTATTCATTTTTTTATTATTTTCTTTTTTTAATTAAAAAATTCAATATAACAAAGAAGGCCGTAACTTCGATAAGTTATCATCGTAATATTAATTATTATTTTTTTTTTTATCACCTCAGAATTCTATTTATGTTTATTATTACTTTATTTATTTAGAAAATACAAAACATTCAATTATTATCACTGCAGTGGTATTACAAACTTTTATTTTGTAACAAAAAAAATTTTATTTTAAATCCCGGTGCTTTATTACAAATATCAATTCTTTTTGCTCTCATTTTTTTTTTTATATCTCGCACAAAAATTGCGAAGCAGCGGCGGGCTTGCGGCTCTTTCCGGCGCTTCTTTAATCGTGCATTCGCTGTTAATTTTACTTCATCTTAATAAAGTTATCGGCTGTACTGTATCATATTATCATTATTATTAATATTATTATTATTATTATTATAATTAATAATTAATTAATTAATTAAAAATTAGATAGTTTTGTATTGGTTCCCAGAGGTTACTGCAACAGAAAAAGAGGAATCGACCGTGAACTTAATTGTTAGTTAGGTAAAAAAAAAAAAAAAATATGGCAACTGAATTTAGAAGAAGTCATACTTATTTTTAATGAGTGTAAATGTTGAAAAAATTTTGAAATTATTTTTTATTTCTACATTTACACTCATTTATTTTTATGATACTGAAGTTGATTTAAAAAATAAAAATTTTTTTTAATAACTTCAGGATCATTTTTTATAAATGTAAATCAATCAGATTTTTATTCATTTTTTTTAATTATTTAAAAAAATTAATCATTTTTTCAATTATTTAAAAAATTAATAATTTTTTTAATTATTTTATAAGTTAATAATTTTTAAAAATATTAAAAAAAAATTAATCATTTTTTAAATTGTTTTATAAATTAAAAAAAAAAAAATATTTATCCATGAGATTTAAAATTTAATAAAGTCTTGTCTGTTAGATTTACACTTGTAAAAAAATAATTTATTGTTTAATACTATCAATAGATCAATTAAATTTATATCTTTACAATATTTAACTAAAAAATAATAAATGTAATATTAAAAAAAAAAAAAAAAAAAAAAAAAAAAAAAAAAAAAAAAAAAAAAAAAA